CGAGCAGGGTACTACGCAATTGAACGCAATTTGAAGCTATTCAGAAGGCCGTGAATGGCAGAGGAGCAGGAGGGCATAGCTACATTACCCATGAGTATTATACTCAACTAGTTATACACTACACTAAATTATACAGCTGGGCGGCCGGGCGCGCATGCCTTCCTGTTCGCGCGCAGCTGCTTGCAAAACTGGTCGAGGGAACAGCCGGTCCGCTGCTGCTGCAGGCTAACAATATACATCGCCGCCTGCTCGCCAATCCGCTTCACCTGGGCAACGCGCCGGATCTCTTTCATAACCTCCAGCCGTAGGGAATACCACTGCAGCTCGCTCTGTCGCCCTGCACGCCACCGGCTGCCCCATCTGCTGTCGAGCGCGGCCACGGCCGGTTGGCCCCGAAGACCAACGGTCCACTCGCGCCACAGGCCCTCTACCGTCTTAACTGCCCGGCACATGCGGTATCGGGGTGGCGGTTGCTCCGGCTGCGGCTGCGGCTCCGGCTCCGGCTCCGGCTCCAGTGCAGGCACGTTGTACGTCACTGCCGGGTCCGGGCTTGTTAGACGGCTGTTGTCGATGCTGGACTGGGCGGATGTGTACCGGCTCTTCCCCCCCCTTCCTCCTGCCGGAGGCAGGACCGCCGTGGCGGCCGCCTGAAGCCCTGTGGCCAAGAAGGTCTGCAGTTGCGAGGACTGTGCCTCTCTGAGCCGCATCTCGGCTGCTCGGACCTCGGTTTCGACCGCCGTCTTGAGCTCGGCCGCTCTTGCCTCATTGCGCGAGTCGATAGACTTCAAGTAGTCGGCCAAGACCGGCATCGCCTGGACAAGGACAGCCAGCTGGCTTGGCTGCTCCTCCTCTCGTACGAAGGCTGAGATCTGCTGCGCGAATGGCCGGTACGCCTCGTGCTGAAATACCGGGTGGTTCCATACCGGGCTGTCGGGGAACTGTTGCATCAGGAGTACCGAGTCCTGCAGGACCACCTCGCGCAAGTAGAAAAGCAGGTTCGTTAGGCCCATTGCCGCAAAATCGTTTACCTGATCGGGCCCAGGGCCGAACTGGTCCTTCCAGCTGTCTAACCCGGGCCAGATCATGGAAAGCAGGACCTCTGGCGGCACGATCCCAGCACGGCGGATCTCAAAGCATCCCATCTGTGAGGGGTGGCCGGCCATTGTACGCATAAACTTACGGGGCAG